ACCAGTGGGTGCGTGAATACAGATCTCTTACCAAAAACCCTCATGGTAGGACAAAAATGGCCACAGCATAAGCTTTCACAGTAGACAGAGCCAGGTTTCTGTTTACCAGGGTCTGTAAGAACATGACATGGGGGCTGTGCCTCTCTCCACACACCACTGCTGAAAAGCAGACCATTTCACCACATAAGAAGCCTTTGTTGACAGGGGTCTCTCTCTGAATTGTATGCACGACCGCTGGAGGCAAGCCTAGGCCCTTCAGTCACTCCCGTTCAGGGGCCAAGCCCACAGGCACTGCCCTACCATGGGATACTGTTGAATCGTGCCGCTCAGCAGAGAGAGCGCATCTCTGTGCCACAGGAGTTTCCACGGCTCATCCAACAGCAGCTGCACCAGTGTTGGGAACCAGACTGCGCTCTAGGGCTATCAGGATGACACATGTCAGGGCCAGCAAGTCCTTCTCTGCTGGCCTAAACACTATCAGAAGCACTGACCTACATTTACAACCTAAATTCTAATGTTTGTTCCATGAAATTGTATTAATTTATTCCCAACAGTCTATTCTCTTCATTTCATAGCGTTTCTCTTGGCTGCACTGCTTCCAGTAGGTGTGTGTGGATGTTAGATTTTTTTTGTCCAATCAGATTTCAGCCTCTATGTGTTGCTATGTCAATCTAATCTGCCCAGGGCCTTCAGAATCAGTAGTGCTGGCTGATGTAACTTAAACTATGTTAGCAATGGGACTGTTTCTTTAACCCATCAGATTTCAAATACACCTCACAGGGCCAGCTAGCTGGCCCACAATGATGTCAGCATTTTTCCGTCCTCTGATTGGTTGGTCAGAGCAAAACTGTTACAGCCAAGTTTGACTAGCAAAACACATCTGTAGCGATCTGCACACATGAATACATTTGAATTAGAATTTTTTAAGCTCACAATGGTTGACAGAGGAGGAGAACTTGACTTGGTTTAAAAATCCATGTTCAAGGTGGACTTTTCCAGAAAAGCTAGACATCATGAGGAGAGGTCGGCCAACCCCGAAGCTAACTAGCTTGTCTCAGCCCGGGAAACTAGCAAAACACATCTGTAGCGATCTGCACACATGAATACATTTGAATTAGAATTTTTTAAGCTCACAATGGTTGACAGAGGAGGAGAACTTGACTTGGTCTTGGACATATTTAAAAATCCATTTTCAAGGTGGACTTTTCCAGAAAAGCTAGACATCATGAGGAGAGGTCGGCCAACCCCGAAGCTAACTAGCTTGTCTCAGCCCGAGAAATGGTTTGTTTGCCACTTCCATGGCTATAGAAAAAGACTTACTGATGGAACTGAAACACAAAGATCACCTCTGTGACAGAATCATTGAAGTCTTCCTGCGCAAAGAAAGGATAAAAAAAATAAATAGCATCTCTGGTGACTGATGTATTTTATTTAAATTTTTTTATGTTTTTGTCATGTTATTAGATAAATATTGATTCTGAACTGCTCCAGATGATGTACGTGGCACAGTTGCGGTTGTAGTGTAGAGGTTTGGAGTTGTCTTAACTGGGTTTCTTGCATTAGTAGAAATGGTATTCACCCTCAATACGCGAAATGCCTCTCTCTCTGTAATGCCAGGCTTTGTTATATTGCGTTTTTGTATAGTATTGATGGTTTGAAACTGCCTTGCCAGTTGATGAATGCAATGGCTGTTGTGTTGTCTGACTGCACTACTACGTGTTTGTTTCTCAGTATCGGTGCAAAATGTTTCATCACCTTCAGCACCGTGACTAGCTCCAGACAGTTGCCGAGCAGAGACTTCTGTGATATTTGTGACATGACTCTGCTTAGGGGAACCCCTGTCACATGACACGGGGTTTTCCAGTACGCTAGGTCCGACTGGACGGGGTGGGGGGGGTTAACATGTGCCTCTTGTGTTGCACGGGGTCGAGGCGAAGGTGACCGAACCACCCTTGAGCTTCCTCGTGGAGGAGACTGAGGGGAACCATACAGGACTGGCTGACATTGTGCCAGTAAGCGCATCACAGACAGTGCCGTCACCGTCTTCCGGGGAACGAAGCACTGCAGGAGAGATGAAAGCGATGACGGTTTCGCCGTCATGCTGAGAGAGCCCAGCTGTACCCCCAGATAAATGATTGACTGACATGGCAGCTGCAAACTCTTTTTCCAGTTTATTGCAAAGCCCAGCTGGGTGAGATGTTGCATCAGCTCCGCCACGTGACACGCCGCCTGCTGTCTGGAGGGTGCCATCAGAAACCCCTAGTAGTGAGGACCAGGTGGAGCCTCGGAGATCAGATTCTTTGTCAACAACTCGTGCAGCTCTGCTGGTGACTCCATCACTGTCTCCAGCATTCCGCTGAAGCGCCCTCTCTGCCGTTGTGAGAGCCAAGTGTCTGTCAGATTGCAGAGCAGAACCCTGAATGCTGGAGGGGCCTCGTCTTCGCTGGCATCCATGTCTACCAATGGGTTGATGGGAGAGTCAGCAATAGAAGGAGACGAGCCAACGGACTAGGGCCCTTCCACGCTGATCACGCCAAGGAATTCCAGAGGGCTGTCCACTGAGAGATCGTCACCATTTGCCCAGCTGCCGTCATCGTCAGGGTCACGCTCCCTGGCAGCTGCAAACACATCAGCCCAGCACTGCCTCTCCGCCATGGGCAAGCTAGCACAAAAGGGGCAAGCGGCCCGTGGGGAGATCGCCAGCTCAGCAAACAGCGGAGCAGCCTGGGCAAACAGTGATGGCGGCGCAGCGCTGGAGTCCAGCACTCTTTCTTCTGGAACTTCGCTTTTTAGACATAGCTCTTTAGGAATTGCTCTTTAGAACTGCTGAAGAAAAAGAGGGAGCTGAACTTAGGTCACATAGGCTTTTGTGCGGCCACAGTGGAACTGAGTGGAGAGAGCCCAGTGCAGGGCACAGGCCTGAAAGAAATCTTTTCAGGACTGCGCATGTGTGAGGGATAAACCCAGTAGCGACAGCTCTTGGAGGGCAAAGCCTATACAAAATAGAACAACCCTCGCCTATTAATCATCCTTCGTTAATATTGGGGCTGCTTTAAAATTAATTCTACAACACAATGTGTGCAGAAAGTGAAGTGGCAAATACAGAATTAAGAAAAAAAAACATATACTTAAACAAGCAAATAAAACAAGCACTAGTGAAATAAGCAGTCAGATCCTTCATTTAAGTTAAAGTAGACATAGAAAAAGTCCTGCATTGAAAGTGTTACTTAAATAAAAGTACAAAAGCAATGGCAGTCATTCTGCAGGATGTCCCATGTCACAATGTGTATGATATTATTGGATTATAATGACTGAACATGAATATCTCCTGGTCAGGCTGGTTTTCAGCCTGGTTTTTGTTCCATGAAACAAATCTACTGAGTCCATAGTAAACCCTGTTTTGCGCCTTATGTTTTGTCTCCTGCACTCCACCCTGTCCTCTAATTCAGTCTTTCTTTTTGTCCTGACCCTCAGAGTTCGGCTTCAGCGCTGCACTGACCCTCATTGACCCGAGTGACGAGTTTGCGTTTCCTGGTCTCAGCAAGATGGCGACAGAGCTGCGTAGCTGGGACTGGACATTTGGTAAGACGCCTAAATTCAGCGTCCAAACCCTTCTGGACCTGACGGATGATGGCTCATGTCATCGTACCTCAGCTCAGCTGCACATGGAGGTAAAGAACGGGTTGATAGAGGGCTGTGAGCTGGATGTTCCTGCAGACTGGCTTCCTCGGTGGCTCAGCGCCGAGCTGAGCGCCGTGCTTGTCGGTGAGAGGTTTTGTCCTCATCGAGCAGCTGCAGCGGTTTCTGCACTGCTGCGGTCTGAGAGCGGTGAGCTGCAGAACAGATTGCATGGCCTGTGTGACGCTGTGCTGGCTGTGATGGGCTGAAATACACCAGTCGACTGAAACTACATGAGCTGTTGGGTGTTTGTGCAGAGTTGGATTGGTGCTGCGAAACACATCCATTCACAGTGCTTTGAATCGTCCCTGGAGGAAAATTTAGGATGTTTCAAGAGAAGATAAAAACTTCATCAACATCAGTGACCTTTCAAAGTAAAAGTATGACGTTTCATCAAGGCTGTGACAAATATAATTTTTGGTATTTTATAATTTGGAAACTCATATAAGTGACTAGAGAAATAAAATCTGCAAATTGCTTAAACCTTGTTAATATTGATTGTATATCAGTCAGTCCCTGAATGGTAGTCTTGTGACGCATGCACAATGTTCCCGAAGAAGAGAGAAACGCAAGAGCATCACTCTGTTGTTATCTCTTGGAACCAAAATATTTGATTGACTGTCCTTATGTTTGTGAAATGTTCGCTTTTTTTTAAACAAAAAAACACATTCTATTCACCTGATATATTTATATTTGTCTGTCATGGGCTCATTCTGTACAGCCATGATTGTTGTTTTAAATTGAGAATAGTACATTTTAAATAATGGGGTTCCATATTACTTTAATTCATGTGTCAGGATTTCTGCAGTGCAATTTAATATTTTTTAATGGTTATACTTGTCAGAAAATAAGATATCAACATGTTCCAAATGCATATAACAGCTCCTAGTAATATTTATTAATAAGTTAATACCCTTTAGGTTACTGAACAGGCCTTTGGAGCACACGCAGGTGTTTGAAGTAACTGTTAATACTTATTTTTTGAAAGTTACAGAGCTCAGTTAGATTATTAGGGACACAAAATAACCACAAATAAGTAGAAGAAAGTTCATGGATGGATTAGCAGATTTAAAAAAAATGTTTATTACTAAAATGAGACACTGAGTATCCTATCTCCTGATGGACAAAAAATTAACTGTTGCTGTGCAAGGCATTAAAATAAAGTTTAAAAAAAATTTATAAATACCTTCCAGATGTTCCAATGTGTTTGCACACACTCTTAGATAAAACCTCAGTTTTATACTATGATTTCTTTCGTTTATTGTGGCATATTTGTTTTATTGTTTTTTTATGCCAATGTGAGCGTCTTCACAGCTGGACTAAGGGGAAAGTAAAGTGCCACGAAGTGTGTGCTCCCTTATTAGTGTCAGTGATTAGACGATCTCTGTCTGATGTGATCTGTCGTGTGTCGGCCAGCGGAGAACCGCAGCGGCAGAATGGGGAAGAAACAGAAAAAATCCGGAGAGGACAGGTAGAGATAACACCACCTGTCGTCCTATTTTACCCGTCCACATTCACACCGAACAACAGTGAACTTTCCAAAGTCGTTAAAATCCCAAAAGTGGCCCGTTTTCCCGCTAGTTACCTGTTAGCTTTAAGGCTAGGTTCGCTAGCAGATGCTAACCACGCGTTATTGACAGTGTGTGAGTGCAGCTGGTGATTTGGACAGCCTGAAAATGGCTTAAGATGAATTACACAACAAGCAGGCGGACAAACATAAACCTGAAAGGGCTAGTTTACAGATTTGGGCGCAGAGGTGTTATGTTTTGATGGTGTTAGCTTGAGAAATCAGCCTGGTTAGCCAAGTTAGCGTTAGCTATCTCTCACAAACCAGACGATTAAGTCTTCTCTCCAAGCTCCAAGCTGAGGTTTAAATAAATTCTGACAGTCAGTAAACAGTCAAATTGTTTTTTAACGGAATGAAGCTTAATGTGTGAAAGCCAATAATTAAATCATAAGAGCCAGAAACAGCGGAATGGAATGGAAGCTAAGCTAACTGTTAGCCAGTCTTTCTGTCTCATGTACAGCTCACAGCACTGTGAACGTGATGGCTAATTTAACGGTGGGTTTCTGTCAGAAGAAGCTGATGCAATGCTGAGTATCTGCTCACCCACTGACCAGCTTAGCTCACCTGTGTGTTACCTGTTAGGGCATGTTTCTAGCTGCTTCACACAGCTGATGCTCTTTAAACTCAGTGTTGGTGGTCTTTGAGTGCAAAACAAGGCAGTTTTATCAATTTTTATTTTATCAGCTTTAGTCTTCTACCTTTGTCCATGTGGATTTAAGCAATTTATACCTGCATATCCTCTCAAGCTCTGTCAGATTTCACAGTTAGTAACCCCTTCTACACTGGCTGTTCAAGGTGGATTATTATGCCAACTATTTGCCACATCTTTTTTTATAGAAGGTACCAAGCCAGCATGGGGCTTGGTTGTGACCCTCCTTTATTTCACCAGGAGAGGAAGTAACCAGGCCTCTTTGAAAAAGGGGAGAGGCAGCTTGGGGGGTTGTGTGACATTTTGATAAAGGGCTGTTACTGTGACACTGCCAGTGGATTTAAATTTTAATGTTGCTCACAAGAAACAGAATCTGTGACCTTAATCGTTGGCATGTTTGAGCCTGAATCATGTTATAAATGTGCCAGACAAGCAAAAGCACACGGCTGTTCTGACCTGCTTGTAGTCAGATTTCAGATTTAGATTATTATGTTATTGTCCTCAGTGCCAAAGATGATGGCATCGATATTGATGCTCTGGCGGCAGAGATCGAAGGAGCCGGAGCTTCCAAGGAGCCAAAAGGGAAGAAGAAGAAGAAAGGCACAAAGAAGGATGACTTCGAGTATGACTTTACAGCTCCTCCTCTTCTCTTCCTATTTTTTCCTGAAAATGTTATGTGAAGTGTTTGAATCACCTTTTAACTCTGGTGTTTCTCTTTGTGCAGTGAGGACGATATCCTGAAGGAGTTGCAGGAGTTGTCTATAGAAACTCAGGGAGGAAGAGCTAAGGTAAGCTCACCTGACTGAGTTTGTCTGTCATACTCTGGGTGTCAGAAAGACCTGGTTCAGGGTTTCCACAGGTCTTTAAAAAGTCACAAATCCAGTCATTTGAATTTTAGCCCTTAACAAGCCTTAATGTTCAGGTTAAGCTGATTACTTGAAGTTGATGTTACTTCTATAACATCACATGTATTGCTCTGTGTTTTTGGGAAATGCTGTGGAGGCAAAATAGTACTGACCGTTGTTTGTTTAGTTCCATGTTGGAGTTCTACAGAAATTCATTAGATTTCAGGTCACGTCTTTTCTCCTTGTACAGAAAGGAGACACCACAGAGGAGCAGGAGTTCGTCGAGCCTCCTAAACCAGAGAAGAAGAAGACTAGGAAGGGGAAGAAGGACAGAACCAGCCCTGAGAATGAGGAAGGAGATGATGGTGAAGGTGAAATGGATGGTGAGAGGAATGGGGAGCAGAAAGACCTGAAGAAGGTGAGAGCGGAGCCCATTTGGGTTGGAAAGCTCTGTAAAAATGCTGAAGATGTCAAATGTAAAATGTATGATTGAATGCATCAAGTCTGATCGATGATAGATCTTTAAACAATATTTTTTCTTAATCTCAGTTAATTCATAAAACAAATTCATATTTCACTCCTTTTTACATTTTGTTTTGTTTTGTTTGTTTGTTTTTTTTTGGTCCCAGCCAGGGTTGAAATTCTTTTTAACGATTTTTTTTTTTTGTTTTGTCGTTATTTGACAGTTAGTAGCACAGATGCAGATGGGGAACATGGGGGCAGAGATAGTTTGATATACAGCTAATAGAAATTATTTTAATCACCATTTTACAGCAAATTTTTCTCATTTTCCTTCCAGCACATCCAAATATAATTTCTAAATATTGAGAAGAAAATCAAGGATGTTGCTTGGAAAAATTTGTCAAATAGATAAATATGTGAATTAAATACAGATATTGTTCTCAATGAGTCAGTCTTATAAGTCCTGAGGATATGACACTGATGAAAATTATCAGAGTATTACTCTTTGCATTTACTGTATTATTTATAGAAAAGTCATCTCTTCTTCCTTTCTGCTCCTCCAGGCACCTGCTGCCACTCCTCCCTCTGATTCTGATGACGACAGCAGCTCATGTTCACGCCTCAAAACCAAAGGAGGAAAGAAAGGAGGCAAAAAACCTTCAGTGTCAGATGAAGAGGAGGACAAAGATGAGGATGAAGGTGTGAGGAAAGGTGGAGGAGGAAGAGGGAAGGAGGATGAGTCTGAGGATAACGAGGAGTTCACCTTCAGGAGAGACAAGAAAAAGAAGAACAAAGACAAAGCTGCGAGGGCTGAGAGCGAGGACGAGGAGGAGGAGGAGGGAGGAGACTTCAAGATCAAGACGGCAGCACAGAAGAAGGCGGAGAAGAAGGAGAGGGAGAGGAAGAAGAAGGAAGAGGACAGGATGAAGCTGAAGAAGCTGAAGGAGGCTGGAGTGGAGGTTAAAAAAGAGCCAGAGAAGAAAACAGAGGCCACGCCCCCTCAGGCAGAGCTACCTGCAGCAGTGATAGAGGAACAGGAGGGGGTGGAGCCAGCAGCCGATGGTAAGATGGCTCCACCAGAAAATATTTGAAATGACAATTTGTGGTGTAGTTGAGAGACACCACATCCTGTCCCACTGTCACTGGGGTTATCAGACAGTGGGGGAAATCAGAGTTACTGCAGCTTTAAAGGTGCAGTGTTTGCTCATGTTTTTGCTTATGCTGCTGTGTCTTCCTGCAGAGGAGGCTGAGGGCGACAAGAAGAAGAAAGACAAGAAGAAGAAAAAGGGGGAGAAGGAGGAGAAGAAGAAAGGACCCAGCAAGGCCACAGTGAAGGCCATGCAGGAGGCTCTGGCCAAGATGAAGGAGGTGGGGCATTTTGGGACGTGCAGTCATGGAGTTCTGAGAGGAGTGGTAGTCCTCAGGTGTAATGATTTAATGTCTTTGTAGGAGGAAGAGCGAGCCAAACGAGAGGAGGAGGAGCGACTGAGGAGGCAGGAGGAGCTGGAGAAACAGAGGCTTGAACAGGTAAAACGTATCATACCTGCTGCTTTAGAATTTCTACTTTCTCATCCATCTCCTCACTGACCTCTGACCCTTTGTTTCACCCCCCGTTAGGAGCGTCTGGAGCAAGAGCGAAAAGAGAAGAAGAAGCAGAAGGAGAAAGAGAGGAAGGAGCGTTTGAAGAAGGAGGGGAAGCTGCTGACTAAAGCCCAGAGAGAAGCTCGAGCCCGGGCCGAGGCCACGCTCAAGATGCTGCAGGCCCAGGGTGAGAGTCCATCCACCAATCACATTGCTGCCTACAAAGAATTCATGCTTGTTGATAAAATAATCAGTCAGTGAGATTGTAGAGATGGATAGTGAGGATTCATCATGAGAATTGGGTTTAGTTTAACTTGATAACACTATATTTTTAAAATTATCTCAGTTGGACCATTTTATTTCATAATTTTCACTAAACATTCATACTTCGGCAGAACACTGAACAAAGGATCCAAAATTTTTAGTTTTCAGGAAAAATGTCTAAAAACCTACTTCAACTGTGACATCATGGGTTATTGTAGATTAATGGGTGGAAATGTGTGTAGGTGTTGAAGTGCCATCCAAAGACTCGGTGCCAAAGAAGAAGCCAGTTTATGGGGACAAGAGGAAGAAGAAGCCCAACGCCCAAACTCCTGAAGGTACCTCACTGCTGCTCGTCACCTCTGATGATTAACTCGCCACCAGTTCATCTCTTCTGTCAGTTTGTCAAATAAAAAACACTTTTCCTTAAAGTCTCCTCTTTCCTCCTAGAAATGTCAGAGGTGACTTCGCCAACATCAGAGACACCGGAGCCTGTTGCTATGGAGACGGAAGCTGAGGCTCCGGCTGTAGAGCCAGGTGAGAGTCACACGTGTAACAGTGGATGTAAAATAGCTGTCAGTGCCTGGCCTCTCATGAACCTGTAAATTCGGTGGTGTGTTGAGCACGCAGTTTCCATTTTCGACTGGACACTGGTGTTTTTATAATTCTGTGTTAGGTAGACAGTAAGAATCCCAGCATACATAAACGTGCATGTAAAAACAAATCAGGAAATTACATAATGTGTTTGCTCATGGAAACTCACACCACCACCTGCAGGTTGTTTTTCCAGCTTTTATTTTGACATGTAAACAGTTCAAGTCCAGTGAATCACCTTCAGGGATACAAAGCTGAGATGTAAACTGCCAGAGGTAAAAACTAAAGTCACCAGAAACTTAACACTGTGTAAACAAAAGTAAATGAAGCCTTGACAACTGATGCCAACAGTTCCTACAGGCCCCGACTGACGGCAACAGACTCTGTCTGTACTAAGGCAGCGTTGGGACAGACTGTTACTGCCCCTCTGAAGCATCATGTGGAAAAAGGCCATGACCACAGGGAGTCAGTTTCTCAGGGTTTCACTTTGTAGCAGGAGAATGAGCCACAAACAGCTCCAGGCTGTGGAGGAGGACAGAACAGTGATGGACTGGCAGCACAGAGTCCAAACTGAAAGCACAGCGGCCGACAGGTGCAACTCATCTGTGAGAACATCTGCAGCAGGGCCGTCTGTCTCAGCTTTGTTTGGTTTCAGCTGTAGAGAGAACGACACAGTTGTGTTCACCTGTTGAGTTTCACTACTGACCTTGTCTCTGTGCAGAGGTGAAGCCAGATGCTGCTGTGGACGACTGGGAGGCCATCGCCAGCGATGAGGAGAAAGGTGAGTGATGAAGTTTAGGTAATAGTCATCACAATGCTGCTGCAGTTAGTGCAGGAATATTTCATTTAATATGGGAATTGTTTAAACTGAGTTCACATGATTTCCTGTGACTGAGTCAACAGTTGCTCTGTATATCAGACCAGACAAATATCATGGCCACTTAGCTGTGCATACTCCCCTCCTTTTAGCATTTTGTTGTAATAATGCTTAATCAAATATTGAATGAACAGAAAATCAGCCTGCAACGTTTTTTGTTCACTGATTTTTATTTATTTATTTATTTATTTTGCAAAAGCACCAGGAGTTCTCTGGCTGCAGCAGCTAAAATAAGGATTTTCTCATAACCTGATTTTCATTGTTTTGGGCTGTTGATTGGACATTGATGATTGGATGTGATGCAACTTATTTACATGTTGTAACAGATAAGATGTAAAAGTCAAACCTTGTAGTTTTTAGGTCAGGAGCTACCGTGAGGAACAGAAGAATTTGAACACCCTGCGATTTTGCAAGTTCTCCCACTTAGAAATCATGGAGGGGTCTGAAATTCACATTGTAGGTGCATTCCCACTCTGAGAGACAGAATTAAAAAAAAAATTCAGGAAATCACATTGTATGATTTTTAAAGAATTTATTTGTCTTGCACTGCTGAACATAAGTATTTGAACACCTGAGAAA